CTCCTCTAAAAATTTCCTTCTTTCACAAAGATTAAAAATCTTTCACACAAATCACAAATCTCTCTCTCTATCCATCCACAAAAACCTAAAGAAACAAAAATCCAATCTCCTCTCATCGCTCATGGCGGCTGCAGTCGCTTCTGGAATTGCACCCACCGCGATGGTTGATCAAGTGCCTAATCAACCCACCGTTGTGGCCGCTGCTCCTCCTCCGACGGTGACTCAAGTAGCCGCCGTTGCTGCTGCTGCGGCGGCGGAAGCCTTGCAAGCCCATCCAAACTCGTCTCTTTACGTCGGAGATCTTGACCCGACCGTCATGGAGACACATCTTCTGGATCTGTTCAATCAAGTTGCTCCTGTTCAGACAGTTAGGGTTTGTCGCGATGTGACTCGTCGTTCTCTTGGTTACGCTTACGTCAATTTCGCTAATCCTGATGATGGTAATGTTTCAAAAACTCAATCTTTCATTCATGTGTGTGACGAATTAAATATTATTATTATTATGGATTGATGATTTAAAACTCTCGTTTAATTTCATGGAACGTCCTCTGAAAAAAAATTTGTGTTTTTTTTTTGTTATTTCAATCAGCGATGCGAGCGATGGATAGTCTCAACTACACTCCGATCAGCGACAGACCGATAAGGATCATGCTCTCGAACCGTGATCCTAGCACTAGATTGAGTGGAAAAGGCAATGTTTTCATCAAAAACCTTGATGCATCGATTGATAACAAAGCTCTGTTTGATACATTCTCGAGTTTCGGGACTATTCTCTCTTGCAAGGTAGCCACCGATGTCGCGGGACGGTCTAAAGGTTATGGCTTTGTCCAGTTTGACAAAGAGGAGATCGCTCAGGCTGCTATTGACAAGCTTAATGGAATGTTGCTTAATGACAAGCAAGTCTTTGTTGGACACTTTGTTCGTCGCGAGTACCGGTCTCGCTCTGAGAGCGGGGCCGTACCGCGTTTTACGAACATTTATGTCAAGAATCTCCCTAAAGAGATTACTGATGATGAGCTCAAGAAGACGTTTGGGAAGTATGGAGATATCTCTAGTGCGGTTGTGATGAAGGATCAGAGTGGGAACTCGAGGTGTTTCGGGTTTGTGAATTTCGAGAGCCCTGAAGCTGCTGAGGTTGCGGTTGAGAAGATGAATGGTATTAGCMTCGGTGAGGATGTGTTGTACGTTGGTAGGGCGCAGAAGAAGTCTGAGAGGGAAGAGGAATTGAGGAGAAAGTTTGAGCAAGAGAGGTTAAGCCGGTTCGAGAAATTGCAAGGATCGAATCTGTATTTGAAGAACCTTGATGACAGTGTGAATGATGAGAAGCTCAAGGAGATGTTCTCTGAGTATGGGAATGTGACTTCATGCAAGGTTTGTTCTTGATACTAAAACACATGTCTGAAAAGACATTGGTTTTATGTTACATTACATTGAACTAAATTGTTTTTGTTTGTGGTCTTATATAGGTTATGATGAATTCACAAGGCTTGAGCAGAGGATTTGGCTTTGTTGCTTATGCCAATTCTGAAGAAGCCTTAAAAGCTGTAAGTTTCAACTAAATTCCCAATCTTCTTACACACATACACATATTTTCAGATTGTAGCGAATTATTAATTGGGTGATGATGATTATATATATGCAGTTGAAAGAAATGAATGGAAAGATGATAGGAAGGAAACCTCTTTACATCGCTTTGGCTCAACGCAAGGAAGAGAGACGTGCTCACCTTCAGGTTCTTAGCCTTATCTTTGAACTTTAAAATGTTAATTTGTCACAAAAAAAGCGACTTGTGTTGTTGTGATACTGATTCTTAAACTCTCTTTATGTTTTCGCTTGTTTCAGTCTCTATTTTCTCATATGAGACCAGCAGGGACATTGTCGCCAATGCCATCAATGCCTGGGTTCCATCATCTCCCATCCGGAGGGCCAATGTCAGGACCACACCATCCAATGTTCATAGGCCAGAATGGTCAAGGTCTAGTGCCTTCACAGCCTATGGGGTATGGATACCAACTTCAGTTCATGCCCGGTGTGCGTCCAGGTCCAGGCTCAGCAAACTTCGTGATGCCTTACCCACTTCAGAGGCAAACACAGCCTGGTGGTCCTCGTGTTGGGTTTAGGCGCGGCGCTGCTAACATGCATCCGCACTTTCAGCAGCAACAAGTATGTTACCTTTATCCTGATCAGCCTTTGTGTACTAGCAAGTTTTTTATTTTTAACTTGTTGTTGTTATGTGGAACTGACAGATGCTGCAGCAGAATGTGAGCTCGGGAATGAGGTACATGGGAGGCACGGGCAACAGGACGAATGGAATGGAAGGATCTGCTCCATTGCCATTGGATGCATCTGCAATATCTCACAATGTTCATCAACACCCACAGAAGCCTCCTCTCCTCCCCATTTCTAAGCTCACAGCTGCGTTGGCTCTGGCTAACCCCGAAAAGCACTCAGAGGTTTGTCTCTTGTGTTCCTTTCTCTTATTCTCATTTAAGAATTGCATTAAGTTTAGAGATTTGTTGACAATTTCCTTTCAATGTAAAGTTAAGAAAAGGTAACTGTGAATTGATGACAGATACTTGGGGAGCAGCTTTACCCGCTTGTTGGTCAGCATGCACCAGTTCATACCGCCAAAGTCACCGGTATGTTGCTAGAGATGGACCAAGCCGAGGTCTTGCATCTTATCGAGTCACCTGAAGCTCTTAAGGCTAAAGTCTCTGAGGCTTTGGATGTTCTCAGACTTTCTGCTAATCCGCCTGCTGTTTCTTCCATCGATGACCAGTTCGCTCTCTCCTCAACCGATTGAACTCATGCTTTTTACTCAAGACAATATTTATTCTGGCTTTTATTAGACAGTCTCGTTAAAACTTTTAGGAACTCTTAAACTAGTTTTTTCTTTACTCATCTCTGCAACTTCTCTCTTGATAGTTTGTTTTGGGTTTTTACTCTTAGCATTTATCTATTTTTCCTTTGAGACTTTTTACTCTTAGCACCTTTTCTTGCTTAGTTTTGACTCTATTTACTGAGTTAACTCTTTTGAATCTTCTTCAAATCTTTACTCTTTAGCAATTCTCTAATGAATCGGTAGCTAGTTAAACATAATACTATCTCTGTTCACATGAAATCTGGATGGACCTCGTCGTCTACTATCTGGTATTCCGAACTTATCTCCATAATCGCTTTGTCCCATTCTCCGACATCATCATCCTTCAAGACTTCTCTCTGACCAAATCGTGGTGGTCTTCGGTTTTCTCCTTCGTCATCGATCAGGAAAGCATCCCATTTCGAAGCCGGCTTAGTTACCCTTTCTGACTCTACATGCTTCTGTTCTGTATCCTTCTTCCTCGTCATTGCTCCATCTGCGCAACATTTGAAGGAAAGGAGTCACTACACCAACGAAAATATCATCCTAGTAATAAAGCATTCAGGCTTAACCAAATCAATGCAATGTCTAATCAGTGATCAACATCATAAGCCTTTACGGGTTGCTCTTAACCAGATCTTGTCTGAGTATGTCAATAAACAACATTTGAGGCGGCTTTATTCGAACATGTAATTTGACTAATACGAAATCAAACCAGCAATCTGATATAGCGCGAATATATGTAGCAGAAATCCCTCTCACCTGTACAAAAATCCGGCTTTTTGATGCTGCGTCTGGAGAAAGAAGGCTTGAAGAGCTCATTACCATCTTTCTTCCCACCTCCTGTAACTGATGATGATCCACCAGCATTACTATATTTGTTCAGCTTAGGCCTCTTGAACATGTCTTTCGGCATCTCAGTCACAATCTTCACATCTGAAAAACGAAATTCCAAAACCAGAGTATAGTCTAATCTCAAATCAATAACATTTTCAAGTAACGCAATTGATTCTCTCGATTTAGACTTACCGATATCTTCTTCACCGTCTTCCTTTACATTTAATTTCCGACCATCATCGTTAAGTGAATCGGAATCGAGATACTCACTCCAATCAGATCGCTTCTTCTTTCCACAAACATCTGAAACCTCCTCATCGATTTCTCCATCGAAATCAACCTCCGAGAACGTATCTGCAACATACTCTTGTTCCTTCTCATCGGCAACTTTGCGAGACATGTTAAACGATTGAACGAAGAAACGAAGCTCCTTAGCTTTGTAACCCTGAGCAAACACCTTCCTTACCGATTGCTTCTGATTACAAATCACACAAACCCATTTGTTGCTACTTTTCTTCTTCTGCTTCACCTACCAAATCCCAAAAAAAAAATCCCTAAAATTCAACAGAAGAAAACCCAGACCATACACTCATTGACACAGAT